AGTGTGGTCTGGCACGTGGAGGCTGCCCACGGGCCACCGTAAGTGGACAGATGCACATCATAACACAACTGTGAAAACAGGGGCAGCAGCCCGGGGCCTCGGGCCTCAGCACCACCCGCTCATTGGAACAGTGGCAGGAGTGTGTGCTGCGTGTGGAGGGGGAAGAGCTCTCCGCCTCCCGGAGGAGGAAACCATGGGGCCCTGCTGCTCGTCCAGGGGGGCGGGTCCCACACCCATGGCGGTGTCTCCCCCTTTTGCAAAGCTGCCCAGCACTGTTTGTTACAATTTCAATACAGATGCCCTTTGATCCGTCCAGTCCCCCTCCAGGGCCATCTGATCGAGGGAGAAGCACCAGTGCGCAGAGACATCCGGGCGGTGATGCTTGTGGCGGCAGAACGTAGAAAACCAAGGTGGGCATGCTGTTACTGGTGGGACGGCTACAGTTTTATCACACCTCACGCTGGGTTCAGGGGAGATCCTGAGACAGGGGTAGACACGGAGGATTTCTGAGATATCCTGCTGAAGGAGGAAAGATGCAGAAAACATGTGTTTAAGGTGATTCCAATTCCATTTTCTTGGGAAAATGTTTAAAATGCAGCCTTTGCTCATCCACCAGTGAGTGCTCCCAGGACAGGAGGTCTGGGGAGCCATGCGCTGTCTGCTGACCTCATCTTCTTCAGGCCTGGAGGGGCTGAGCAGCCACGTGGCCGGGACAGTGCCCCACAGGGACCTCGCAGGTCTGCCAAGTCCAGCAGGTCCTCACCCTGCTCCGGGAGCCTCCCACCACCATGGCCAGGCATCTGGGGACCACACTGGTCATCCACGGGGGCTCCTGCTGCTGGGCAGCTTCCAGGTGGCCGTCTGGTCATTCATTTCTCTAGACTAGAGCATGACTTCCACAGGACTTGGATGAACCCCAAACCAACCAGGGCAGAGAAGGAGGCCCACATGTTGCAGGGCGGGGCCATAGTGGGGAGGGGATGGGGCTCTGTCCCTGGGTCCACTTTCTGATCCAATAAAGACACTGGCTTCTCGGAGGCCAAGCTGATCGAAAGGGATGGAACAGCCGCACCCACCCCAGGGTCGTCAAAGGTAAACATGTGTCCTCCCGGGCCAACAGGACATGAGGCATCTCCCTAGGGTGCTGGGAAGACTGGCAGGTGCTGGTAGGAGCGAGTGAACAGGATATTTTACTTGAATATGTGACAGTGATGGTTGCAGGGCTGAGACAGCAGGTGAAGTGGGCCTTGGCGCCTATGCGGGGCTGACAGCTGGAGCCTCAGTGTGCAGCAAGCAGCAGACGTGATGGCTGTGGCAA